CTAGATTCATCAGATGGACAAGTAGCGGGGAATGGTTGGGGGTGACGACAACACCAGCAGACAGTAGGAGGGATATCAGAGTATAAGGGCTCTAGTTGGGGGAGGGAGGCTATGGGAGGGTGCTACCTGGGAAAAGTGGGTATATAAATAAATAAAAAAGAAAAAAAATAATTCTTCAAAACAAAACAAAAAAAAAAACACTTGAATAGTTTGATGAACAAGGAATCAAATTCAATATCACATTAATAGCTCAAATGCTCCAATATTAAAAATAAAACAAAAAAATAGTATTCTATTAGGGGTCTTGTATGTGTGTGTGTGAAACAAGGTCTCAATATGTAGCTACAGTTGGCCTCAAACTCATAATTCTTATGCTTCAGCTTCCTGGGTGCTTGGATTATAAACACAGGGCTAAAAATGGCTTTTTTGTTGTTGGTTTGGTTTGGGTCTTTTGAGACAGGGTCTTAGGTCTTGGGTGGCCTTGTACTCACTATGTAGACAAAGCTTGTACCAATCCTTCTGCCTCTGCCTGAGTGCTAGGATTACAGCACTGAGTCAACATGCCCAGCTTAAAAATATTTATTTTTTTATTTTATGTACATGTATGTTAAGTGCAATTAATTGTGCAAGCACTGTGGAGGCCAGAAGAGGGCATAAGATCCCCTGGAACTGGAGTCACCAATAGGTCTGTGTCCTCTGCAAGAACAGCCAGTGCTCTTAGCCACTGAGCCACCTCTCTAGCCCCCAAAATAACATTTTTAATATTATTTAATAGTTAAAGCAAGATAGTTCAAAGATGATAATTAGCAAGGAGCTCCATGAACAAATGACCTCACCTTCAAAATCTACATCCACTGGCCACTCTCCCATCTCCCTGTCACCAGCCATTTAGGGCCACCCACTCTTGCCCATATGGATATACTGTCTCCCTGCTTCTGACTTGACCCCCTCCATCTAGTCTCAGCACATTAGCAGGTGTAGTTGTATTTAAATGCTCTTATGCTCAAAACCCTGCAATGTTCTTATTTTAACTCTGAGTAAAAAAACAATTATGTAATCTCAGCACTCGGGAGGCAGAGGCAGACAGATCTCTGTGAGTACCAGACCAGCCTGGTCTACATGCGAGTTCCAGACCAGCTAGGGCTACATAGTGTCTCAAAAAGAAAAACAAAACAAACAAACAAAACCCCCCCACAAGTACTTTAAAATGTTCTAAGTAGAGCCTAGTAATCTGGGTGTGGCAGCTCACATCTGTAATCCCAGGATTCAGGACACTAAAGCCAGAAGGAGAATGGAGATTTTGAGGCTGGCATGGGTTATGTACATAATGAGCTCCAAGTCTGCCTAGACGACTGTGAAACCATCTCAAAAAAACAAAAACAAAAAACGAGGAAAAGAAAAAGGTGGCAGACAGACAGTGCACTTGTTACTGCCCAGCTTGCTGCCCCTTGGAGAAGATCCAATAAACCTGCTTTCTTCAAAGAAGTAAAGCGAGGGAGGTAGGGATGGAAGAAGGATCTTGTTCCCTTTGCCCCTCTCCTAAACTCTTCCCCTTTCCCTGGTTCTATACCAGACACATACCAGCAACACACTGCCACCAGCACACACCCAACACAGACAGGGCCCTGCTACTCACCATGGCTCTGCCTGGAATACTTTTCTTCCATGGATCTGCAGTTAATTCTCTCAGCTTTGGCTCCTGACATACCACCTTCTCAGCAAGCTCCACAGCCAGTGTAAGTCACACAGCTACTGGCATTTGCTAACCCCCTTCACTCCCTATGTCTCTTCAGTCTGTTTTTATTTTCCCTATTGCTTATCACCCCTCATCAGAATAGAAGCTCCATGAGGGCCTAGATCTTGCCTATTTTCCTCAATGTTTTTACTCTAGCTCCTGCAAAACAGCCTAACAGTAATATTAGTAATAGTAATAAATACTGTTCACTTAACCAAGTTTGTATTTTTTGTAAAGCCAGAAGTATAGCTAGAATTAAGTAATGCTTTCTGTCAGGTGTGGTGGCACATACTTTAATCCCTGTACTGTGGAGGCAGAGGCAGGCAGATCTCTGTGAATTTGAAGCCAGCATAGTTTACATAGTGAGTTACAGGCCATCCAGAGCTACAAAGTGAGCCCCTACCTCAAAAAAAAAAAAAAACCCAAAATTCAAAAACTGAAGAAAAAAAAAAAAGTGTATGTATATACATATGTACGTGTGTATATATATATAACCCCTTTTTTTGGTTTATTTATTTTTGTCTTTTTGAGACAGGGTCTCCCTGTAGCCCCAGCTGTCCTGGAACTCACTATGTAGACCAGGCTGGCCTAGAACTCACAAAGATCTGCCTGCCCCTGGTTTATTTTATGTGTATGAGTGTTATGCCTGCATGTGTAAGTGCACCTGTGTCATCAAACCATGCAGAAGACAGAAGAGGGCGTCAGATCCCCTGGAACTAGAGTTATAGATGGTTGTTAGCCGCCATGTGAGTGTTGGAATTTGAACCAGTTAAGAAGAACAGCCAGTGCTCTTAACTGCTGATCTATCTCTCCCAGGCCCATATATACCCATATTTTTATTGTGTCTTTTTTTTTTTTTCTTTTTCTTTTTTCTGGAGCTGAGGACCGAACCCAGGGCCTTGCACTTGCTAGAAGCACTCTACCACTGAGCTAAATCCCCAACCCCATATACTCATATTATTAAATGCATAGTTTAAATATACATATATAAGTATTATATATACATATATATTACATATACACATATATAAAAATTGTTTTCCTTTCTACTTTTTGGAATTAGCTGGGTTTTTTTTCAGTGCTGGGCATAGAACCCACAGCACTGGACATGCTAGGCAAGCATCCTTACCACTGAGCCAGACACCCAGCAAAACATATCATTCTCTTAAAATTTCCTAGTAATACATGAAGTACGCCTGTTAGGGCTTACCTGACGAACCCTCTCTTTGGCAGACCTCATTAAATGAGTGATGGCTCTATTGTGATGTAGTCGCAGTGAGCTAAACTCATCACTACAGGTGAAAGAAGACAGCAGCCCCATCTTGATAAACGTCTGGCAGAGCACTATAGAAATATGGAAAACCATTAGATTAACAACAGACAGGGCGAGGTGACACATGTAATCCCTGTATATAGGAGACTAAGAAAGGAGGATCAGGGGTTCAAGGTCATCTGTCAGCTATACAGGAAGTTCAAAGCCAGTCTGGACTATGAGATCCTGAAACCCTATAGCCAAAAATAAAGGGCAAGTATTAAGTGTTCTTCTCTGTTATGAAATCCTTTTAACCATCATACAAAGGGCATGAAATAGGTATAACAGATGAACATACAGACGAGATGCCAGGCACCTCGGAAAAAAGTGTCTGTGGAGGTGTCCTGACTTTTTTTTACTCATTCAAGAACTACAGATAGGGCCAGGTTCGGTGGCTCACACCTGAAATCTCACCACACCAGAAAACAAAGAAGAAAGGGGGAAAAGAGGTGAGGGAGACAGGGAAAGGAGAGGGAGACAGGAATAGAAAGGAAGAAGGGGAGGGAAAGGAAGAGGGGAAGGGAGAGGAGACAGAAAGGAGAAGAGAGGGAAAGGAGAGAGAAACAACAGGACAGAAGAAATACTGATAGAGCTGAGAACGTACCTCAGTGGTAAAGCCTAGTATGTGTAACACCCTGGGTTTAATCCCCAGCATCACCAAAAGAAAAAAATAACAAAAATGAAATAAATACATATACGGTAAAGGATCTTTTTCCACACCAACATTTAGCTAATCAAATAAGTGAATCATAGCAAAAACTTTTACTTAAGAACATTTAGCTCTATTTTATAGAATGACATATTACAAAAGTCTAGCGTAAATTACTGTATTAAAAGAGGAGCTATATCTGTATGTGTATGTATATTACACACATGCATGCACACCTTTTTGGGTTTTGGGTTTTATTGTTGTTTGGCCTTTTTGAGACAGGGTCAAGGTCTCCCTGTAGCCAAAGCTGGCTTGTTCACTATGTAGACCAGGATGGCCTTGATCTCACAGAGATTCGCCTGCCTCTGCCTCCCGAGTGGTGGGATTAAAGGCATGTGCTACCATGCCCAACAGGTATTTGTAAGACAGTGTCTTATGTTGCTTAGGTTGACCTCAAATTCATTATATAGCCAAAGCTAGCCTTTAACTCCTGATCCTCCTGACTCTACGTCCAAAACGCTGGGATTACAGGCATGCCACCACAATACCTGGCTAAAATATACCTGTTTTAAAGTTCAGTCATCTATAAAAAGGCTAAATAAGATACTAAAAAGTATCTTAAAATCTGGCTGTGAATGTAGTTCAGTGGCATAGCACCTGTTCCAAGTGCGTAAGACCCTGAGTTTGACCCCCGGCACAGGAAAAACACTAAGAAACAAAGAACAGTAGTACCCACAGATTTGCTTTATATAAGATTCTTACAGTGAAATTATTATAATCTGCTTTTCAAAACCAAGAGTATAATTATTAATGCAATAATTCGGGACTTGGAACCTAAGGAGCATCCCTCCCTTTTGTACAGTCCTCATCCTCCACATAAAAGGAAGAGAGAGAGGAATAGAGAGGGGAAAGGAAGGAGGGAGGAAGGAGGAAAAGAAGAAAGTAGGTAGATTTGCTTTATTTACAGAAAAACATTTTAATCATTTTTCATGGAACATCAGTTTATCTAAATAGCAATATATCCATAACTACAACATGCTAAGTTCTAAGACTATGTAAAGGTAGATGTAGGTTTGAGATGTCTGAGTCTTGGAAAGACTTTATCAGGGGCTGGAGAGATAGCTCAACAGTTAAGAACACTGGTTGTTCTTGAAGAAGACCCGGGTTTGAATCCCAGCACCCATATGGCAGCTGACAACTGTCTGTAACTCCTGTCCCAGGGGATCCAACAGGCTCTTCTGACCTCCGAGAGCATTGCATGACATGGGTATACTTACCTACATGCAGGCAATATGTGCATACACATAAAATAAAAATAATTTTTTTAAAAAAAAGTTAGAAAAAAAAAGACTATTAGTAGAAAAGAAAATCAATTGTGGCTGAAGATATTTAAGATGCTACAGGGGCCTTGGTCAATAAGATGAACCAGAAATATAACACGTAATTCTGCAGACTTTGGGGCTCTAGTTTCTAATATAAGTATTCTATGGCAGGAAAAATAATCAAACATTTCAACAACATGGTCTGCAGCTAGCTCTTTCAGTCCTCTGGTCAAGAACTAGTCAGGGGCTAAACATGTTGGTAGAGTGTCTGCCTAGTATGCATGAAGTCCCGGGCTGGATCACTGCAAAAACCAGGTATGGTAGCACTCTGCCTCTACTCCTAGTACTTGGGAAGTGCTTGGTACCAGAAGGCCAAAAGTTTAAGGTCAACCTCTGATATACAGAGTCTGAGGCCAACCTGGGCTACATGAACCATCTCAAAAAATAAAAAAAAATATAGCCAAGCATGGTGGCACACGCCTTTAATCCCAGCACTCGGGAGGCAGAGGCAGGTGGATCTCTGTGAATTCAAGGCCAGCCTGGTCTACAGAATGAGTTCCAGGACAGCTGGGGCTACAGGGAGACCCTGTCTCAAAAAGACCAAAAAATAAATAAATAAATAAATAAATAAATAGGAGGTCAGAATGAGTATATGATTATATTTTACCTTCTCATCAAGTAGAGCCCAACAGATCCTCAAATATCATATGAATAGAGGCTGGAGAGATGGCGCACCAGTTAAGAGTATATGCTTCTTTTCTAGAGGACCCAAGTTCAATTCCCAGCACCCACATGGTGGCTCACAACCAGCTGTAAGTCCAATTCTAGGGAATCTGATGCCCTCTTCTGACATCTACAGGCACTGCATGCATATGGTCCATGTATAGTCAGGCAAATACTCATACACATAAAACAAATCTTTACACTATCATGAGCTAGGCATGGTGTGCATGCCTTTTTCCCAGTACTGAAGGGGCAGAGGTAGGTAGATCTCAACAGCCTGGTCTACATGAGTTCCATGGTAGCTAGAGTTACACAGTGAGACACTGTCTCAAAAAAATAGAAAATCATATGAATATCATTTTATACTTACAAAAGAACTAATTATTTATTTATTTAATCATATAATTTAGGAATTCCACAGCAATTATATTCATAAGAATTACCCAAAGGAAAACATTAAATTAATTTAAGGAATGTACACCATTCACACTATTTTGCACTCAATTTTTATACACCAGCTATTTCTCAGACCCACAGCCCTGAATATGGTATGTTGTACAAGCTTTGTTTAACAGCAGCCATTTGTTCTTACTTACATTTAAACACTTGTTTTGAATGAAGTGGATTTGGCTCATGCACATGGCTCAAGTGCTCTAGCAGGGAGACAAGCAATAGCTGGTTTGCCACTACAAAAGGAAAAGTAGGCTGCTGAAGGGGTTCTTTTAACACTTGGAGCTCTGCTGGAACATCAGACTCTAAATAAAGAGAAGGGGGAAAAAATGATTGGTAAACATGTCTCATAATGACAAAACAGCATATTCTAATTAAAGAAACACAAATTATTTTTGTTTTTTTTAATGTATTTTTATTGAGTTATTTCATATAACAGATCTAAATCAAATTTAGACCTCCCTACCCCATTTGCACCTTCACCACAGCCAAACTCCCCACCCCCACAACTGGATTTCATGCATTCTCATATCCAGTCAATCATATCCAGTTATATCTAGTCTCTCATACCCAGTTCTATCCAGTCAAACATTTGTGGCCAGATGTCCCTTGATACAGGTTCATGCACTGGAGCCTATCTAGAGTCACTCCCTTAAAGATCCGCTCTCCTTCACCTAGCAGTAATCAGTTGCCAATAACACAAATTATTTAACTGTAGGAAAATAAAAGAGTGCTTGGAGTAAGCTGGGTTAAGAAAGGTTTTCTGAGGGCTGGAGAGTTGATTCAGTGTTTAAAAGTACTTGCTCTTGCAGAGGACCAGGATTTGGTTCCTAGCACGTACATGGCAGCTAACAACCATCTTTAACTCCAGGCCTGGGGATCCTATACTTTCTTCTGGCCTCCGAAGGCACTGCATGCACATGGTCCACATACATACACACAGACAAAACACTCATACATAAAATAATAAATCAAAAACATTTTTTTAAAGAAAGGTTTTCTGGGGCTAAAGAGATGTCTCAGTGAATTAAGCTTTCCTCCCCAATTTTGTTTTGTCAGAATGTTTTTATCACAGCAACACAAACTGGGACACCTAGCCTCAGTGAACAGACAGCAATTGAGAAAGACACCCAGTGTCAACCTCAGTCTTCATTATGTATAGATCCACACATGCACATGCACCCAACACACACCTGTGTCCACACACATTTGAACATGACATCCATGCATACCACACACATATATTAAAAAAAAAAAAAGTAGGGGCTAGAGAGATGGCTCAGTAATAAAAGCACTGGTTGCTGTTACAGAGGAACTGGGTTCAATTCCCAGCAACCACATGGCAGCTGACAACCGTCCATAACTCCAGTTCCAAGGGCTCCAACACCCTCTTCCAACCTCTGTGAACATTGCACGACATGAGTACACTTACAGATATGCATGCAGAACATTCATACACATTAAATAAATAGGGTTTTTTTGTTGTTGTTTTCGTTTAAAAAAAAAAAAGGTTTTGGGGGGCTGGAGAGATGGCTCAGCAGTTAAGAACACTGACTGTTCTTGCAGAAGACCCTGGTTCAAATCCCAGCATTCACATGGCAGCTAACAACTGTCCGTAACTCCGGTTCCAGGGGATCCAACAGTCTCTGTTGTCCTCTGAGGGCATTGCATGACACTGGTGCACTTACATACATGCAGGCAAGCATACACATAATATAAAAATAATAAATAAAATTTTTTTTAAAAAAAGGTTTTCTGAGATGAATTTGAGTTGAATTCTAGAAGCTGGAGGCCCAGGGAGGCCTCAAACTTACAGCAGCCCTCCTGTCTCTGTCCTAAGGGCCAAGAACATGACAGGCCAGTGCTCTTATCACTAAGCTACATAACCAGGTTAGAAAAAAAAATCTTTTTAATAAGAAAAACTAAAAGACAACAGTTGGTCATATAGTCAAATGAATCTTCAAGAATGTAAGAAATGGCTGGGAATCTGGCTTAGTTGATAGAGTGCTTACGTAGCATCATGAAAATCCTGGGTTCAAACTCTAGCACAACATAAAACCAGACATGGCCACAATTAAGTACCTATGATTCAGGCAACTGTAAAGTAGAGGCAGGAGGATCAGAAGTTTGAGGTCATCCTTGACTATACAACAAGTTGGAGACCAGCTTCTGTCTCAAAATACTAATAAAAATAAGTCTTAAATAAGTCATTTAAGAAAATGACAACTTTTAAAATGTCAATAGAGGCTGGAGAAATGGTCAGCTCATTAAGAGCATGCACTTCATTTCCCAATACCCACATCAGGTGGCTCACTACCTAAAACTCTAGCTCCGGGGGATCGATCCCAAGCCTCTGAGGACACTGCACTCATGTACACATACCCACACACAAACACACATACACATAAAAAATAAAATAACTGAGCTGGGCGTGGTGGCACATGACTTTAATCCCAGTACTCAGGAGGCAGAGGTAGACAGATCTCTGAGATGAAGGCCAGCCTGGTCTCATAGTAAGTTCCAGGACAGTTGGGGCTACAGGGAGACCTTTTCTATAAATAAATAAATAAATACATATACACATAAATCCATAAATAAACAAGATCCACTTTACAGTACAAGTCACAAGTAGAAAAGGAAACATAGATAAAAGAAAAAATGACTACAAATTCTCATAAAGTAGTAAGATGTCAGATACAGAATTTCTGAAGCAAGATGTGGGTAAACATACAAGAAACAGATAATCTAATTGAATCAGGAAAATAAGATTCAAATGGTTCATCATTAAGACAAAGATCAAGCCAGTGGCACAGTCCTAGCTACTAGGGAGGCAAGTTCAAGGCCAAGTCTGGGTTAGAGTTAAATTCAAAACCAGCTTGGGCAACTTAACGGCATCCTGTCTCAAGAATAATGTAAAAAGAGGGTTGAGGGAGTAGCATGTGCAACTGCTTACATTCAATACCCAGTACAAGAATAATACATTTTTAAAAAGCAGCTTGAAAGATTAATCCGACATAATTTTTTGCTTGTTTTGTTTTGAAACAGGGTTTCTCTGTAGCTTCAGTTGATCTGGAACTCAATATATAAACTAGGCTGGCCTTGAGCTCAGAAAATCCACCTGCCTCTGCCTCCCGAGTACTGGGATCAAAGGCATGGGCCACCATACCAGGCAAACATATTTTTCTAAAACTGGCAACAAGTTGAAAGAAAATCAATTACTCTGAAAATGGACTCACTGCTGGCCCTCCTAATCCCTGCTGTTCCACAGAAAGCAACTATATTAGAGGCTGATGTTGGCTCTACATGTATTCCTATAATGAACTGCTAGTTATATATATCAAGGTTTGGAATTTTCTGATTCCACCATTAACTGGCAGTGTGACCTCCTCAAATAGCACAGCCCACCTGTAAAGCATAATTAACTATTGTCTTTACATCTGCTAAAAATGATACTACATTTCTCACAGACCTTTACATATAAATTAAATGTGCCTGGGCATCCTAAGCCTCTTTGGAAGAAACAGCAATGTGTAAATGCAACAGTACTATCAGTAACCTTGAAGTAAAAGTTGTAAAGCTTGTCGAAGATTACTCCCTTCTAGAATAATCTTTGGTTTGCAGAATCTCTTATCATAATGTCACAGAAAAGACAGACTTGCATGTTTACAGTTGGGGCTTTTCCCTACGACATAAGCTTTCCTTATTCTTGAGCTATGTATAATATACCACTTGGCACGTTGAGGAAATCTGAATATCCATTAAAACAATTAGGGCTGGAGAGATGGCTCAGTGGTTAAGAGCACTTGCTGCTCTTGCAGAGAACCCAAGTTTGTTTCCTAGCACCCACATGGTGGCTAACAACTGTCTTCTACCAGCACTGCATGCAGGTAATACACTTAGATACATGCCAGCAAAATACTCCTACACATAAAATCTTTGTAATCTTTCCATGAGATATTGAGATATTCTATAGCTAAAACTGCCTTGCATCAGTGTTTGTTCAGGTGCTGAGGAGTGAACCCATGATCTCACTCATGCTAAAATGTGCCCTCTATCACGTAGTCCAAACTGGCCTGGACTCCCTATGTAGCTAAGACTGACCTTCAACTCCTGATCCTGCCTCCAAACTTTTCCAGTGTTTGGATTACAGGTGTGTACCACAACTCAATGTATTCACTATTGCGAGCCCAGTTCATTTTTAAAATTGCCCAAGCAACGGGTAGCAACCGTTTTGATGTTTTGAGAACCACTCACTTTATGTTAGATAACTTGATTCATATCCCTCAAAAATTCAAGAAAACTGGGCTTTTCCTCACTTCCTGGCCATAGAAACCATTAGTTGTCCTATCGGTAAAACAAAAGACAAAGCTGCGAATTAAAACCCTTTGCCCAACTGTTCAGAGTGGTGAGCTAGGCAAGTTCTCATTCTAGCAGTGAGCAAATACCAAACTCAAATATAAAAGAAACAAAAACTAGGGGGTGGAGAGATGGCTCAGCGATTAAGAACACTGACTGTTCTCGCAGAAAACCCGAGTTCGAATCCCAGCACCCACATGGCAGCTAGCAGCTGTCCGTTACTCCAGTTCCAGGGGATCCGACAGCCTCTTCTGCCCTCCGCGGGCACTGCATGACAGGGGTGCACTTATCGACAAGCAGGCAATACACGCATACACATAAAATAAAAATAATTTTAAAGAAAGAAACAAACTAAACCGCAGGAGGTGAGAGAGCTGGAAAGCTGCCTTAGGGAAGTGGTTCGCAGTCCAAGGGCCGTCAGTCCGCAGAAAGGACACTCGAGAAAAAAAGAGATGTCAACAAATGTGCCGGTTCCAGACTCTTAGAATACGTGTTCACCTTACCCTTGACCGCCCGTCGCCTCCAGGTTCCCTGCAGCACTGG